TTAAAATAAAAAATAAAATACATTACATAATCTATCTAAAATTAATAAAAAAATTTCAAATTGTATATAATATATGAATAAAACGAAATAAAAAATAAAAAATTATCTTTTATTAAGTAATTAAAATAAAAAAATTAAAAAAAAAAAGCTTTTGCTGAGTCAGTGCTGTTTATTTATTTATTTATTTTTGCCATCCCGAACGAGCGTTCTTGAAAGTTGGAGGACTATTTAGAATTCACTGTGAAGAGAAGACTTAAATTGTTTCCCTTTCCTAAGTGTCTCTCAATTACATTTTCTTTTTTTGGTTTTGGTACATAGTCTCTCAATTATTGATATGATAGGAGAATTGACAAGGCTGGTCAGTTGCCTGTCTTTTGAAAGACAAATCTCCTTTAATCTGATTGTGTCGAAACAAAAATCTCAAGGGATTAAGCCGTATTGCAAACAAGCACTTCTGTTCGGTACTTCGGTGGATGGCTGATTTGTTTTTTTTATATTCGACAGTGGATTATAAATCGCATATAATTAATTTTAATGTTAAATTTATTAATAAATAAATATTATTTTATAAATTAAATTTAAATTTTAAGTTTTAAAATTAATATTTAAAAAAATATGTTAATATAAAAGAGTATTTTTAAAATTTTTTAAAAAATAACCTTAAAATACATAAAAATTAAACTGAAAACACTTTGTTGTAAATACCAAAAAAAGATAGTTGATTCTCTTAATTTCTTCGAGGTTAAAGTTATGGTGACTATTTATTTTGTTAAAGTTATAAATCTTATTGTTTTAGTTTAATTATTTAATTTTATTATTATTTAAATCACATTATTTTTATTTACTAAAAATAATATAGATAAAAATAAAATTCATATTTTATTAAAATAAAAAATATCTATTATTTTGAGATATAAAAAATATTAAAAAATTACTTATTAAAAATTGTACTAAAAAATAAAAACTACAAATAATACTTTCATCTTTTTCTCATAAAATTAAAATTCTACAAAGTAAATTGTATCTTAAAAATATAATTTATCTTATAAATTTATTTAAATTATTTTAATAAAATATAATTATATTATTACATTAAAAGTATGTAAATAAATTTATGAGATAAATTATATTTTTAATATATAATTCAGTTATATAAATTTTTTTTTTTATTATGACATCAAAATAAAAAAAATAAAAATACACTGAATAATTTATCCAAAATTAACAAAAAATTAGAAAAGAAAGAAAAAGAAAAACTTTTCCCCGAACAAACGCTATTTCTTTCCCATTATATTTATTTACTTATTTTTTCATCATACCCAAACAAGCGTTCTTGAAAGTTCCAGGAGTATTCAAGATGAGGAGTGCTAGGGGCACTCGCATTCTGCACTCTCCGGCCAACACTTTCACTTTTATTGGGCCACGTTATTCTGGTTGGTAAGAGGTTGTCCTCAAAGCCTGAAACAAGTTTACGTGGCCCAATGAAAGGGGAAGTGTTGGCCGGAGAGTGCAAGAGGCGAGTGCCCCTAGGACTGCTCATTCAAGATTCACCGTGAAGAGAAGACTTGTCCTGTTTTGCTTTCCCAAGTCTTCCTCAATTATTATTATTTATTGGTACATGTTCTTTCTCAATTATTGACATGTTAAAATTTCAATTTAATCTTTTTATTTTTGATAAAAAAATCTTTTTTTAATTTTTTTACTTAAAAAACTTTTTTTTCCTAAAATTTGAAATTTGACTTCTCTTAACCCCATCAGTCAAATTTTGTCATTAAATGACGAAACTTTTAATGTAGAGGATCAAAAAGATACTTTTACTAAAATAAATAAATTAGAAAAAAAGTAGTTTAATTTTTTTTATCCTTTTACTTTGAAATTATCATTATCTAATATTTTACCTTTGTAAAACTTAACAAAAAAATTAAAAAGGTATCAAATTTTAAATTTTAAAGATAAAAAAAATTTTAAATAAAAAGATTAAATTTTTTTATCAAAATAAAAAGATAAAAAAAATAAGAATTTAATAATCAATTATAGTGTTTTAAAAATCAATCCAAAAGTCAAATCATTTTGACCTCATGTTTTGACTTTGATGGGTTTAATAAGTTGAATCTTAAAACTCATTGTTCATTTGGATATAAATAAATATAATGTTATACAACATAAATTAATAAGCAAGCAATGGTTCTAATGGTACGTTGTCTTATCTAAGTATAAGGGAGACAACAAGTTTGTAGTTTTGAATTTTTAGCTTGTAATTTATAATATATTAATAGTTTTTTTTATATAGATTAAAAATATAATAAATGTAAAATTTTTAATTAATTTATTTAAAAA